AATTTCTATATATTTTCCTTAAATATTGACAAAACAATAATTAATTAAAATTTTACTTTATCAATATAATTCCTTACGTTATAGTAATATTTTATTATGACTGCTCTTACTTTTCATTACGTTTAGAATTGTCATAACGCTTTTTAGTGTATCACGATAATTCATACTTATTTTATGTTAAACGATATTAATTTTATATTTTTTTCTCACTTGTTTACATAACTAATATGTTTTTTTTTTTATTTTTAGTTATTTTTCTTATATGTTTTAAGAAAATAATTAATTAAAATTTTGCATTGACAACTTAATTATTTACGTTACAATAATTTATTTTTATGATTATTCTAATGTTTAATTATGTTTAGAATTGTAATAGCTCTTTCTTAGTATGTTACGATACTTTTTTTTTTTGTTTTACACTAAATTATACTCATTTTATGTTTCATATTTGTTTTTCAATTTTTAGCTATTTTTTTTATATATTTTAAAAAATAATTAGTTAAAATTTTACGTTACTAACATAAGTATTTATGTTACAATAATTTTTTATGGTTGTTCTTATATTCTATTATTTTTAGAATTGTCATAATTCTTTCTTAGTGTATTATGACACTTTTTACTAATTTTTCGTTTCTTCACACTTGTTTACCTTACCAATTTATTTTTTAATTTATAGTTGTTTTCTTTATATATACAAAACAATAATTAATTAAAAATTTATATTACCATCATAATTATTTACGTTATAATAACATATATTTTTATGTTTGTTCATACTTTTCAATATGTTTAAAATAGTCATAATTCTTTTTTAGTGTATTATGACTCATTTTACCCATTTTACACCAAATGATATGAATGCTATGTTTCCTTTCATCTATTCATGTTATTTATTTATTTAATTATTAGATATTTTTCTTATATATTTATAGAATTAATAATTAATTAAAATTTTACATTGCATCTTATTATTTACATTTCAATAATTTTTTTTACGGTTGTTGTTATATTTTATTAAGTTTAAAATTATCATAGTTCTTTCTTATGTGTTACAATACTTTTAACAATTTTATGTTAAATAATATAAATTTTATGATTTTTCTCACAGGCTTCATTAATAAATTTTTGATTAATTTTTTTAAAAATATCATTTCTTTTACATTAATTTTTATCCTTAAATGTCTTTTTAACTATTTTCTTCTATATTTATAAGCAAATAATTAATTTAAAATTTACGCTATTCACTTAATTATTTACATTAAAATAATTCTTCCAACACTTCTTCTTACATTCAATTATATTTAAAATTTTCATAACTCGTTTTTTAGAGTGTTAAGACACTTTTATTTCATTTTACATAAATTGGTATAAATTTTATTATTTCTCTCATTTGATTATGTTAATAATTTTTTTATTTGTATTTTAAAATATAAATTCTTTAAAGTTGGTTTTTTTTCTTTGAAAGAATTTTTTTGTTAATATTTTATAATTTCTTTAGAATTATTTTTTATAATATTTTTGAGCCATTTTCAAAGATGCCAATTACATAAAAAAAATTTAAAAAATAATATTTTTAATTATTTTTTTATTTTGAAGTAATTTCATAAACATATAATAAAGTGAAAAATAAAAACTATTACATAAAGTAAAAATTATTTAAATTATGTATAAAATTTTATAAACATTTTTTACAAACTTATTACTTAAGCAGATTTTACCTTTCTCTACTTAAAAATTTAATCAATAATTGATATTTAATTATATAAATCTAATTATTATTATTTACTGACCTTATTATAAGAGTAAAAAACTTGAACTTACGATAACCCGTCTTTTATCCCACCCTTTTCCCCTTCACTTTTCTCATAATTAATTGCCTTTTTAAATCACCTTCCAAAACTACGGCTTCTCCACTCACTCCTCTCTGCATTAGTGGGCATTCATGTACCGACAAAGGTAGGTGGAGTCAGGAGACGAGAAAAACTGCCAAAAAAAAAAAAAAGTGGAAAAAGTAGTCGAGAAACTTGGGGGCGGCCTAGATTTCACGCGTGCCCTATATTTGTCTTCCTGTTTCTAAGCATATTTAATGTTTAGACGCTAGCTTAGCCTAGGTTTTCCTCGTTAGTTTCTTGCTGATTAACTTTTTTTTCCTTTTGTTTTTGTATATTGGATTTACTTGTCCTAGCCAGGATATCCACATACGGATTCATCAAAACCCGACAATCATACCATACATTTTGGCTCTTTTTCCAATCTCACTCCTCTATGTGAATTTTGATTCGTGTATTTTGATACTCGATGCATGCATTTTGAAAGTTTTCTAGAGATCAATCATTCGATACTTTAGAAGGATTATAAATTGAAAAAAAAAAAAAGGAGATGTTTCGATTATGTTAACATATTATAAAAACATTTTTTTCTTAAAAAGCAAAATTCAATTTTTGTAAAAAATATTCTGAAACTAAAATCATAAATGCATCGAGTTAATATGAAAGAGTATGCCCTTAGATTATTTTGAAAAAAAAAAAAGTTTAGATAAAATTTGAAGTACCCTGATTATGTTATAAAAAAATACAGTAACAACTGGAAAAAGTTAAAAAAAGAAGGTTTAAATTATGTTGGTGACATAGCGACGGCAGTGTTCAAACGGTAGACAGTGTGAAAGAAGGGATAGGAATTCAAAGAAAAGGATTAGGTCTCTAATTTCAATTATATATATGCTTATTAAATTACTAATTAACATGCCTAGAAGTTAGAATGCACTGCCAAGTGCTAAGAGACAAATTCTTGTTCAATTTGTTTATGGAACATCTTTGGGAATTGTAGAAAGAGCACCCAATACACAGTTTTTGCCCTGTTCTTCTTGACTAGTGAAACAAGCTGAGATCTGAACCTAGCTAGCTAGAATTCTATCGAGTTTGATCTTCGATAAATATTTCCGAGGGAAAGAATTCATGAATATAACAAGTATTTTAATTAGAATCTTATTGTTTCACTAGATCATATCTTAATTTATAACAATTACTTTTATGAAATGATCAGGGTGTTGGCCTTTGTCTGAGTTGAATTTTTATTTTTGAATAATTTTCGGGATTAATACACTCTCCTACATGGACCTGCACTCAAGTCCCCATCCTTCAAAACTAGGTGAATTTCGAAATTTTTGCGAAAGGACAAATTTTAAGATTTGATAATTTAAAATACAATACGATGATATGATATAAAAATGATATAAATAATAAAAAAGTGACATAAATTAAAATTTTAACAAAAATCATATATAAATTTAATGAAAATTAAAAATTACATTCTATATTTTTTGTGTTAATTCAAATTATGACATAATTTTTATATAAAATATTATATAAATACATAAATTATCAATATTTTAAATTATACGAATACATAAATTATCAGATACCCAACCACTTTCTTAAGATTATTATATATCATCAATATTTCCTCTATCTAGAATACCTAAGATCAAATTGATCAACTTCCATTTTAAATTCCCTAAAATTTGAAGAAACGACCATACAAGACTTTAAAAATGGAGCTGTAGTTGCCTAAAGACAGGAAGCACAATGACATAAGAAAATACAAGCTGCTTTTTCACCCTTTTTGGCTGGTCATGAGTTCTCTCTCCCGAGTCTAAATTTGGTGGCTTTATTGTCTTCTAGTTTGTGTTCCCACTCCCTTAAAAGAAGGTTTTCCTCCCCCCAACTCTTTTTGACTGTCAAATGTGTTACTCGTTGGTCAACCTAACTCAGTATCTCTGTCCGTAGTTTCGATCGCAACCCTCCAAATAGGATCCGAAAGATGTGATCTTTGACTTTCGGTTTCATTAATATTCTTTTTTAGTCATGAAAAACTATCAAGTTGACGAAGTACTATCACATTTTAGATTTGAATTTTGATGTTTCAATAAGATGAGTGGAAATTGTTTTTAAGGAATAATTTTTCTTATTGAAATGGAAAACACAATTAGGAATAGAATTTGACTTAAATATCAATTTTATTGTTTAAAAACATAAAAAATTTGAACCTGTTCTTTAAATATAAAGATCATGCATCAATATCTATCATTTGAATAAATGTTGAACTAAATATTGCTCAAATATCTATCATTTGAATATTGCATAATATATTATTTATCAAAAGGATTGTTATAAATTTGAAACCTAAATTTAATTCAATTAATTTATATAATCATTTTTAAAATATAACATTTAGTAAATTTAAAATTCAAATTATAATACCAATAATTCTTTCCTTTATTTTTAAGTTGTAATGTTATAAACTTATTGACAAGTGGTACCACTTTGATTGGTTCGCCCTTTCCTTCAAACAAATTAATTTCTTGCTTAGCTAGTCGCCACTTAAAACATTAACAATATAAAGATTGAAACATTATTGCATTCTTTAGCATAGATTTACTAATTAATTCAGATGCAAATCTTGGATTATTCATATGTCGTGGCGGGTGTTGGACTATACTAGAATATTACTAAAGCATGCACAAATGCAAAAAAAAAAAACAAAGAACCTAATTAAGCCACATAATTTATATAGTGCAAAGTGCACACTTTACTGAAAAACACAAACCCTCTTTCTAAACGTGCAGATATCAAATCCAAAGAAATCAAAACTTCCAATACTAACAAAAGAGTCATAATATATATATATTAATAAATTTTGTGAAACTTACTTCTTGTTTGCTCGCCGACCAAAACGTTGAACGGTGGCAGCTTTTACACATATGTCTCTCTCTTGGCACAAAAAACCAGACGATCAAACCCTTCATAAAAATCAATATAATGAACCCTAAAATCAAAGCAGAACTGATATAAATACATAAATAAATAAATAAAGGGTTGATTCTAATTTGCTTAGATCACTATTCAATTAAAACAAAAGTTAACTACAAAAAAGTTAATTTAATTTGCGTTGGTTCATCTTGTCTTTATATATAACACAAGAAATCGTGTCTTTTCATTTCAGAAATCAGAAGTAAAGAGGAAAAGAAGAAGAAAATTATCGATTTCTTTAGATTTGATTTTGGGTTTTGAAAGGATTTGGAAATGGAGGAAGCGTTGTCAGGTTTTTGTATAAAAGGAAGTGTTCGGGGCAATGGAAACAACGGAAGTACTGGAACTGGAACTAAGTGCGAGAGATGGAATCCTACGACCGAACAGGTTAAGGTTTTAACTGACTTGTTCAGGTCCGGACTTCGAACTCCAAGCACTGATCAAATCCAGAAGATTTCAACTCAGCTCAGCTTTTACGGGAAGATTGAAAGCAAGAATGTTTTTTATTGGTTTCAGAATCATAAAGCTAGGGAAAGACAAAAGCGTCGAAAAGTCTCCATTGATGAAAATGACTTGATATCTAGAGACAACAACAAGATTACTTCTTCAAAAGGTAGGTTTTTACCTTTTATTTTTTTTTTTGTATTAAAATGGGTTATCCTATATCTAATGAATATTAAATATCTTGTAGTCTTATATTTAAGCTAGATTTTTCCACTTACAGCAAATTGGTTTTAAGTTTCATGTTTAATATGGTATCAGAGTTAGGATTTTTTTTCGTTGCATTTTCTTAATTTATCATGTAAAAGGTTTTTTTCATTTTCGCCTACACGTGATGAGGCCTATTAAAGCGTGTTATCTTACATCTAATGAATATTAAATATCTCATAGTCTTATATTCAAGTTAAACCTTTAACTTACTGCCAATTGATTTTAAGTTGGATGCTTAACATTTTGATTCCTGATTTTTTTTTAGTTTTGATGAAAATTATTTTTTTTTTAGGTTTTTTGAGGTCAAGGAAAATTAGCGTGAAAGAGTTATTGAGACTTTGCAGCTTTTCCCTTTAAATTCCTTTGATGTTTAACATTTTGGTTCCTGATTTTTTTTAGTTTTGATGAAGATTATTTTTTTTTCAGAGTATTTTGAGGTTAAAGAATATCAGCTTGAAAGGGTTATTGAGACTTTGCAGCTTTTCCCTTTAAATTCCTTTGATGAAACTGATCAACAGGAGAAGTTTATATTCCATGCAAGCGAATGTAGGGAAATATCAACATTTCCTTATAGAATCAGTGCCCCAGAAATGGACCATCCACCATTAGATCTTCGTTTAAGTTTCCTATGAAAAATCTTATTATTGTTGTTGTTGTTGTTGTTGTTGAATTTAGGTTTTAGACATAATGAAAATAAGGTATAATTTTGATGTAGTTTAATACTTTTACGTTTGTAATAGTTTCTTTTTCTAAAAATAAGCAAAAAAACTTTTTTAAATATTGAAAATCCATGCTTAGACAACATTCCTCCTTTACTAAAGTTTTTTTTCTCTCTATGTTTACTCTGTTGGATTTGGTTTTCAAAAAAAAAAAAAATAATTGCTTTGAAATTGAGATTTCCTTCCTCTCATGAAAAATATCTTTCTTGAAGTAAATACAAATATATATTATAAAAATAGATTTTGCCTTGGGTTTGCTTGTGATCTTTGAATTTTTTGTATATATGTACCAATAAGCTCATGACTCTTAGTCAATAAAACCAAGTTTTTTGGTTTTGTTTAGACTTTTAGATCCTAAAGAATTAAGGAGTTCTTTTTTTAAACTAAACTTTTTTTACTTTGTGAAAAATAATTTGTATCATATCGAAAAATTTGTATTAAAAAAAGTAGCTGCCAAAATATTTTTATTTATAAGGATAGAGTCAAACCTGAGTATCCCAAGTCTTTGATAAAAGCATTTAAAAAAAATTGTTAATTGGCTCATTAAACATACTTTTGGTAATCACATGCATTTCTTTATGCAATGAGAGACATCCAAATTTAATTTGTTACTATTAGGGGTATTTTTAAGTCTAAAGGGAATTTTGAACTTTTAGACTGACTTGAAATGTTAGACCGACCTGAGGTCATAGTGCCATGTCAACTCAGCCACCTTACCAATTTACCTAGCGAGCCCCCCATCAATGACTTGTCATCCTCTGATTGGACAATCAACACCAAGGTTACTCGGTCTTCCAAGTCACCTTTGATCATAGGGTTGACCTCAAACAGCTTAAGTTGCCCCAAATCCCTTACCTTTTACTTATAAATAAGGCTATCTAGATCCCATCTATATCATCTCACATTTTTCTACTTTTTCTATTCTCTTTCCTACTTTTCTATCTAGCCGATCTTTAACTTGAGCATTGGAGCATAAATGCTAGGAATATCCCCAACCTTTGTTCTTAATCGTTCTTTTTTTCTTTCTTGTAATTTTAGGATTTTATCTTTCTATTTAGTTTAGACAAACATTTGGCGTGCTAGGTAGGGGCATTCTTTCTTTAGCCGAGCTAAAACACCATGCATCGAGAAATAGAGTTGTTGAGGAAAAAGAACCAGTTGCAATGGCTAGAACTAAAACCTAAAGCAATCAACCCACAAATCAACCTACGCCAGCAAGCCCCATAATGGAGCAATTCCTTGTTCTTAATCAACAATTGTAATCCCTAAGAGAAATGATCCAAAGTCTCACCCCTCCACAAAAGTTTAATGCACCTAACCTAAATACCTAAAAAAACCTCGATGTAGAGAATTATCGACCTACAATGACATTAAAGCCTTGTCGGCTTTAAGAAAAAGAGCAACATACTCTAATAAGCCATTACGACACCAACATCTCCACATAAGCCACTACCCAAAAGTCTAAACAAACTGCCCCTAAGCCTCAACTGAACAAGGATCTTGAAGCTCGAATGTAGGCCATGGAAATGGAGTTGAAAGGAAAAGCCATTAAATTTGAGGATGAGCTAAAATTATTTGAAACTTTGCCCTTTATTGAGGAGATTGACAAGGCCATGCCCTTAAAAGGATTAAAAATGCTGCCCTTTGAGACATATGATGGTATAATCAACTTTTTGATCATTTAGAGTTTAATCGAACTAATATGATGATGCAGTAGGTAGATGAAGCTCTAATGTACAAAGGTCTAGCCATAACATTTGAAAGAACAACTTGATCTTGGTATTATAGTCTAAAATTAAAGTCCATCACCCTGCTTAAAGAGCTCAACCACTCCTTTTTATCTCGTTTCGTAAGTAATAAAAAAATGCAAAAAACCACGTTGAGCTTAATGTCTATCCACTAGGGTAGAAATGAACATTTGAAAGATTATGGCACACGTTTTAACGTGAAAGCCCTCAAAGTAAAAGATTTAGAGCAAATTGCTATAATTATTATCCTAAATAGAGGGTTCAATAACAAAAAGTATCATTTAATGCTCACCCTTTCCTTAAAATCACCGAAAACATTGGCCAATGTACTACTTGTTATGAAAAAATATATCAACATTGAAGCTATAATAAAAAATAGCTAAGATAAAAGAGGCTTATCCTTCCTTCTTCGACTAGAATAAAAAGAAATGATTCTATGATATTCCCTTAGAAGTGAGACAATAAAGGTGCATTAAGGCCTAAAGCTTGAGCAGATAGAGACACTAAATTACACTTAATGCCTTCAAAATAAGTATTTTGATGCATATTGAAAAGGATCTCAAGCTCAAATAGCTAAAGCTGTTAAGTCAAAACACTTGAAGAGACCCTAGAAAGAGATATGTTTTCCATAGGGATATTGGCCATAACATAGAGTATAGTATTGACTTGAAAAATGAAATAGAGAATTTGATTAGAAAAGATTGGTTAAGTAGATTTGTGGACCAAGATAGGTAAGGTCATAAGAGACTAGAGTTCAAAAAAAAAGAATCAAAGAAAAAGAACAAGAAAGAACCAATAGATGAAAAAGATGGGAATTAAGGTGGTGAAAATCAGAGGAATGAACAAGACAAAGATAAAGGTCAACCTGTAAACAACAAGCCCATTGTGGGCATCATCAATGAAATAACTAAAAAGAGCTTTAGCTCGATTAAAAAAAAAGTTGATTAAGGGATAACTATGGCCATAGGGTCTTTTGCTAAGAAAGAAAAGAGTTGGAAAGACGAGTCGATCTTTTTAAAATTTTTAAAGACATTTCAAACTTTAGATGGACATCTTAGTGCCAAAAAGTTTTTGAAAAACTTAAACAATTTTTTTTCTCTCCACCTATTCTCTATAAGTTGAGACCTGATGCTATGCTATACTTATACCTAGCTACAATATACTAAGCTATCATCGCAATATTGGTTAGACAAGAAGAAAAAAGATAGAGGCCTATATATTTTATGAGTAAAGCTTTGACAAGGTCTGAAACAAATTACTCTAGGATAGAGAAATTGGCTTTTGCTATTGTCACATCAGTAAAAAAGCTTAAGCCATACTGTCAAACTTACACAATCAACATCTTGACCGGCTAGTCATTTAGGTAGATTATATAAAAACTAAAATTATTTGGCAAGTTGATTAAGTGGCCAGTAGAGCTCAGTGAATACAACTTGCATATACTTCTTAGGTTGACTCTAAAATCACAAGTACTAGTAGATTTTATCATTGAATGCATCTTGAATAGGCTAGAAAGGCTTAAGAAATAATAGAAAAAGAAATGTGAAAGCTTTTTATGGATGGGTCGACTACTAATCAGGAAAGTAGGGTTGACCTAATTCTGATTAGCTTAAAAAATCTATTGTTTCAATATGCTATGAAGTTTGAATTCAAAGCTTCAAATAATGAAGCTGAATATGAAGTACTAATCGTCAGTCTGAGATTAGTTGCCGAGCTGAATGTAAAGAATATCATTATATATAGTGACTTTTAACTAATTATCGACCAAATAAATAGAGAATTTAGAGCTCGAGAAAAAGGAATAATGAAGTACTTGAATAAAAAAACTAGCACATTTGGCCACATTCTTTAGGCTAGGCTTAGAAAAATATCGAGGTTAAAAAATATATTAGCTGATTCACTATCAAAGTTGGCATCAAGAATAACAACCAATGACTCAGCTCATGTCCTGATGGAAGAGCTAGTAGAAAAAAGTATTGATGAGAAACTAGTCTACCAAATTGAAAAGAACGAGTCATGGATGACACTAATCAAAGCTTACCTAATGACTGGTGAAGTACCTAATAATAAAGTCTAAGCTAAAGCCCTAATAACAAAAGTTCTTTGGTACATCGTAATAAATGAAAAATTATACAAAAGGTCTTTTAGTTTGCCTTACCTTAGATGTGTAAACAAAGAAGAGGTGAATTATATGCTTAAAAAATCCATGAAAGAATATATGGTAATCACTTTAGACCTCGACCACTGGTTTACAAGATACTTAAATAGGGCTACTACTGATCGACCATCAGAAAAAACATAATCAATCTAGTGAAAAAATGTGATAAATGCCAAATTTGCACATGCATAACATATTTCGTCAACTGAGCTTGTTCCCATTATTAGCCCTTAGCCTTTTGTGTAGTGGAGGATTGATATCCTCTATCTTTTCACCCTGGCCATAGGATAGAGGAGATTTATGTTGGTAACAGTTGATTATTTTACTAAATGACTTGAAGCCAAGGCCCCAGCTACCATAACTAAATCTTAGATTTTAAAGTTTGTTTGGAAGAACATAGTGTCTAGATTTGGTTACCTCAAACAATAGTAATAGGCAATGAGAAAACAGATTGACATTTTATAATTTAAAAAATGGTACTTTAATTTTAGCATTGATCTAAAATTCACCTTAGTTGCACATTCTCAATCTAATGGCCAAACCAATGAGGCTAACAAGACTATACTTCAAGCTTTTAAGAAGAGATTAGATGAAGCTAAGAGCAAATGGGTCGATGTGCTACCCTATGTATTATGGACTGTAAGGATGATTACAAAAGTTCCTGCAAGAGAAACCTTTTTCAACTTGGCTTTTTAAATAGAGGCCATGGTGCTTGTGGAGATCGACCTCTTTAGTGTCCGAGTTGAGCTCAAAACTAAAAAATGGAATGATGAGGCCTTTAGAACTAATTTGGATTTGAGAGAAGATTAGAGAGACATAGCTCTAACTAGAACAACAACCTATTAGCAAAAAGTATTCAATTTCTACAATAAATGGGTGCAATGAAAAAACATAAAAAAAGACAACCCAGTGCTAAAAAAGGTAAAAGATTTAGGAATCGATGATCGAGGTGAAAAATTAACTTTAAACTAGAAAGGCCCCTATGTAGTCAAAAGAAATTATCCATGATGTTACCTATATA